GCACCTTTAATTTTAGCACTAGCGAGGCAAAGACAGGCAGATTTCTATGTATCTCGGTCCACCCTGGTCTACAGAGAGTTCTGGGCCAGTCAGGGCTACATATTGAAACCCTACATCAAACAAATCAAATCAAAACAAAACAAACAAAAAGACTAAAACCTCAAAAGGGAACCTTGATCTCCCTGGTAACATGTTCCATACCACATATTCAATAGTGTTCCATAAGATTACATCATCTATCAGTGCAGAGTGTATACCCTAAAGGGAGGAGTTAGACTGCTTCAGTTTTGTCTTCACTTTCCCTGACACAGAACACCAGCACAGAAATATTCCCTATTCTATCATGTGTTACATTTGCCAGGGCAGAAGAAACTGAAGAAATCAAAGAACTTTGACCTCTGCTATCACTCGGTAACTGATGGCCATTGTATTCCTCTTCTGACTGAGGAGCAACTAAAATCTGCACCTTCACTTGATCATTTTTACTGCTAAGAAATCTTCTTTCTTTCTTAAAAAAAAGCCCCACATGTTAGCTACACAGAATATTATCCTACTCATATGAGATACCTAGAATAGTTAAACCCATAGAAGCAGAAATCAGAACGCTGGTTCCTAGCGGGAGCTGGGGTAGCAGAAAGTGGGGAAAGGATGCTTAACAGACACCAGTTTTTCTTTGAAGCAATAAAACATTTTGTAATTAGATGGAAGTAACAATTGTGCAATGTTGTGAAATACTAAATGCAACTAAATTGTATGCTTTAAAATGGCTAGTTTTTAATGTTATGTGTTTTATCTCAATTAAAAACAAAGAGGGGAAGGAAGAAAAGAAAGGGACTTTCCAAATTCCGAGTTCTTAAGAAAGTCCTTTCTCAGTGAAAGGATGAGTAAGGTGTGATGCATAGGTCGGTCAAGTGCTAGGGGCCGGGGGGGAGGGGTTGAGAAATACTCCCCGCAGGCAGAGTGTGCCTGCACAAGAACCCAGTAGGACCCAGTGTAGATAGTGCTGTGGTGGAACCCTCTCATTTGCTGATTCAGCAACCTACCGTTCAATAAATGGTCTCTGCAGGCCTTCCAAACTACAGTGAGGTTCTTATCACATCAGAAACTAACTCTACAACCTCTCTTTAAAGGAGCATATTCATCTCCAGAAGGTCTGTCCTGCAGTTTTCTCCTGTCTCTCACCCCACCTCACTTTTTTTTTTTCTACCAGGCTGCATAATATAAGCATCTGGTGCACGAGATTTATTTTTGCATTAGTCATAGAGGATACAATGCATTGAGGAAAAGATGCTTTCAGTGAGGCTTTGTCCTCCAGTAAGATGAGCTCTGCTTATCTAGATCCTGTTGCCCCACTGACCCTATCATCCACCAAACTCCAGCTCTTGCAAACTGCAGCTACGCTGATCACTTTGCTGCTCCTTACATGTGTTTGGCTTGTTCTGGCTCTGGGCCTTGGCTCTAGTTCTCCTTCTATTTGGAGCACTCTTCTGTAAGTTTTTGCTCCATCATGCTGAGGCCTCTCCTGACCACCCTATTTAGCAATGCACCCTGCTTTCTCCTCTCACTGCCTTTGCCCTAATCCTCCATACTCTGATCCATTTACCAGAGTGTTTATTACTTTCTGATATCTAGTATTCTATACAATCACGTAAATTCCTTAACTGCCTCCTGCTGCTGGAATTCTAGCTCCACACTAATGTAGTCTTTGGATATTTTATTAACTTTTTAGCCTAGAGTGGTGCCTGTCTCAGGAAAAGTAAGAAGTGTTCCATAAATTGTTGTAGAAAGACTAAGGATCTGGTAGTTTAATGTAAATTCGCTTTTTTTCTTGGTTAATACAAAGTTTGAACACATTCCAAAAAAGCAAGTTTCTGAGGCCCCTTCTAAAAATATTTTGATGACCCTGACTACTGTTACCTAAGATGGGACTTGAACACCCATTCCAGGTGCTAAGAATAATGAATCCAAGCCATTACATGGCCTAGGGCCAGACTACAAATTTTTCCTGCTGTATTTTCCTGGCACCAGACCTTCTGCTTTGAGGCAATAGCCCAATAAAGAGCTTTCAACCACAACAGGGAGCACCCTCTGAGATGGAGGAGGAAGAGGAGGAGGAGGAAGCGGAGGAAGAGGAGGAGGAGGAGGGATTGTGAAAACTCCATTGGCTGATCAACAGGCACTGGTGGTCTATAGCAGTTGTGAAAAATTCCAAGAGGTTTCTGGAACTTCATTGCTGCATTTTCTCACTCTATTTCAACAGAATAGAAGCTGGTTCCAGCTTTTACTAGAAGATATTTGGTCACTTGTTTGGAAGCAAAGATGAGCTAATCAGGGTCCAAAGGCAAACCTGAGCATCCCATGAATGAGTTGATGCTGCCTGGGGTTGTGCTTCACATGGTCCAGAGCTGTTATTCAATTGTCACCCAGGAAACATTTCCTTTATAAGTACTTTCAATGAATTTAAGAGGATGAGGAAGATACAGAGGTCTACCTTCACTCAGTTAATCTAAGAAGAGTCTATAGTTTGTACACATTTTATTTAAACAGTGAAAGCTAATGTCTAAGAATAATTTCTTTCCATGGCTGTTGGTATACGAAGCTTCACAAATTGTGGCCCAAGGGCTATCTACATTTCATAAAGCAATACTTCATGAAGCAATATGAAGATTTCCAAAGTTTCAAGATTATTGAAGCATTTCTGGGCCTAGCAGTATGAATTTTAGGATGCTGTCATAAAACCTAGAGCCTCATCATGCAAACAAGTGGTGTACTACTGCACTACATCACATTTTAAAACATCTTCTGATGGTTCTTAGGCACATTAAAGCTTAAGAACCAATGTCATAGCATATTACAATTGATTACACTCACACATATGTTTCCTTCTCATGCCTCACAATTATATGAAGGTATGTCTTTAATTTACAGATGTGGAAACTATACTTTCAAGATGTTAAATCCAAGGTTATACAGTTAATTCACAAAAGAGTATGTTTTGAACCAGGATTTTCCAGGTTCTAAATATGATCCTTGTTTTTCTCTATGCTGGGCTGTTCCTTTGTTGAAAAAAAAAAAAAAAAATGTATCAATGTAGGGCAGGACTTGGATGTGCTCCGAAAGAAATGTTTTAATCAAGCAGGCTCTGATTCAGTGTTGGAGAAACAGTGCCCCCTTGTGGCCGTATGGACCAAAGCACAGCCTGTCTGAGCGCAGTGATTTTCACTTGCCTTGGCATATGTTTCGTTGATGGATTTGTGTTGAGCCAGCTTCACAGGGGCATGTGAATGACCAGATGCTAGTTCCTTTGGTTTTGTAGCTGAGATGCTTTTTATCCTAGCTGACACTTTCATAAGAACAGAGACTGCAAGGTCACTAGGGTCATGCAGTAGTATGCAACAGTCCTGGCGAAAGACTTACTAGATGTAGCATGTCTCTGATATAGATCCTCACTTTAAAAAAATTGCTTCTTCGGTGGTGACACAATGCATAAGACTCATGCAGGCTCAGCATAGAAGTAGGGAAATGGGTAAGAAGTCCCAACCTTAGCTGAGGCATTATTGGCAACTGATCACTGTTGGGTGAGGGAGAGTTGATCTTCTTTAAAGGGAGTGATGCTAAATAGGCTGACCAGGTTTCGGTGGATTGACTTCAACCAAGGGACATTTGGGGACACAAACCTGACTTGATAGGCCTTAGCATATATGACAGAATCCATCAAATCTTTTGGGAGGATTATATGGGGGCAATATAGGAGGAGATCTACATAAGATCAAGGTATGAAATGCACAAAATTTTAAATAAAAACCTTAAAAATAAAAAAATAAAAACTACTTCTTAGCAACTGCATCTCAGAGAGATAGCTCAGCAGTTTAGAGCACTGGCTGTTCTTGCAGATGACCTAGGTTCAGTTCTCAGAACCCACATGGTAATTAACAACCACCTGTAACTCCAGTACCAGGGGATCCAATGCCCTCCCTCTGGCCTCCTTGGGCACTGTGCACAATGCAGGTATACTTAAATTTATACAGGCAAAACTACTCATACTTTTAAAATAAACAATAAAATTGTTTTTTAAAAAGTGCTTTTTATTTAGGGGCCTTCTCCTTACCCTTATTTGGGGGGGAAGGGTACCCTTTAACCCCACTCCTAGAAGTAAGCACCAAGGAGGGAACTTTTCTACTCCAGCATCCTTATCTGTGTGAATCCTTATTTTATATGACTCTATTAAATAGCTTAAGTTAAATTTAATATTAGCATAAAAGCTATTGTGGTATGAGATTTCTATGTTCAGATGATATTCTTGCAAATACGAAAAACAA